TTTCCTGATTAAAATCAGTATTTTCCAGAATTTTTTACTTGTTTCCCTATTGTGACTAATTGTGCATGCCTTAATTAGTTATCAGTAGTGTGAGGATTTGATGGACTCCTTATATGGTATGGTGTTGATTTATTACCTTATTTGAGCCCAGTTCTGACCGTTAATTGATTGCCCCCAATTAAGGGGTCTATTCCAGACTCCTCTATGGAATTGATTACGTGACTGATTAATTGCTCCTAATTGATTGAACTGTGGTTCTTTTACCTTATTTTGATTCACCCCTAAAGTGCTATATATAGACCCTCATTCTGCTCCTTCAACACACGAACAGTAGTTCAGAATATACACACACACACACACATTCAAACACTCTCTCTTTCTTTGCTAATTATGTTGATTGTTAGTCTAGCCGGCCGAAAGCCAAGTCTAGACATTGGACTTGCACCTGCTTCTTTCATATTCTGCATTTTTCTTCTTTAACTGGTATGTCTCTAGTTAAATTTTGAAACTCAACCTTATGTGATCTATGTCTATACACCCATGTTTATTCCTACATTAGTTACTCAACTTGTTTCCTATTTGCTGTTATTAAGCATGTCTAAGTCATGCCTTATGTCTAATCAGCATGTCTAATTCACTTAGTTCTTTGATATATGCCTAGCATGTTTACTTGGATCCCTTAGCCCCTCCCTTTTAATGGGTATGACTATGTATCTACTTAGTTTTCTAATACATTTCAATTAGTCCTGATTGTATGTCCCATGTTGTTCAACACCTCTGTATCTTCAACATGATCTTGTTATATCCCTTATCTATGTCTTAACTGACTAGTACCATAATTGCCCTGATTCAGTAGACTCCTGGTGGTTCTGTACACTTGCTGTATCAAATGCTTCTCTGTTTATGTGGTTTCAGCCTTATATGTTCACCAACCCCTTCACCCCTGTTTGTAAGTTTACTTGTTGTGTGAATCTGAGTACTCTATGACCAATTGGGTTGTTTGTTGAGCATGCTTTCTTCAAGATGATTTCAAAACTACTACTTTTTTTCCTAGTATTCTTCTAAAAATTGGTAACTCCCAGTATCTTTTTTTAGAAAAAAAGAAAAACTGTTTCTGGATCTCTTTTACTTCTAACTATTTTACAAAGTCTTTCAAAACTGTGTCAAGCACTCTCGCCCTACTCTTAGACTATTAAGTTCTGCCCCTCTGGTGTGTGTACTGCTTAGGGATCCTTGAGATCTCTCTGAACTCTAGCATACCAGGGTTGCCCTTCCACACTACCCGGGATCCTTGAGGTCCTTAAGGAACTCTGACATACCATGACACGCTATTGGCTGTGACATCTTTGGCTTCTAAGACTGTATTGAGGGCCTGGCATCCCCAGGTTTACTTTGGGCTTGATTTAGGCTCCCTATAGTATAGTTTTTTATTTACTTATGTACTTCATTTGACCCTAGTCTGTAAAACATTCTTTGCAAACAGATATTAGGGTAATTAGTAAAAAGGGGAGGGTTCCCATATGATTTTTATGGGGGACTGGATAGAAATCCTGCGTTAGGTTTACATTATGATGATTTGCAATAGAAATCATGCTTTAGGATTATGTTGAGCTTATCTACAATAGGAATCATGTTTTAGGTCTACGTTGTTTGCATTAGAAATCATGCCTTAAGATACTCACGTTTACTGCCTTTGCATAGTAGAAATATGTTATAAGTTCATCGCTTCTTTCTCTGACTTTGCATAAGTTATCACCTGGAAATCATATCATTAAACTACTGTTGTAATCTTGCTTAATAAAAATTGATCACCTTTATGTGCATTAGAAATCCTGATTTAGGACTTTATTTACATCGGCTCTAAACCATGTCCACGTCGTTTTGAATGAATAACTGTCTATAAAAGGTTTAAGAGTAGTCTAACATAGATATCATGTCCTAGTGTAAACATGCATAAAATCACTTGTTATAGCCTTCATCACCTAGATCAGCATGCCTATAGAATAAAAGAACTTCAAATTGTTTAAATTGTTCCCAGATTATAACTGCATATACACGCCTAGGAAAGCCTTAGGCCATTGGATAATTGTAAAATCAGGTTCTGTTTATGTGTGAAACTGTCCAGGTTTAACAGGCTATAAAATCAATAGGCAAGCTGATTAGGGTTCTACCACTTTGCTTTAAGACAAATGCTGCATATTCTGTGTTTGTGATGTTCATTTAGATATCATGTTCTAAAGCTCTCTAGATTTCTTAGAAATCAGTTGTTTGAGACATGCTATGTATCTGTTTATGTGTGGAGGTAAAACATGAGCTCCTAATTACTTCCCTATTTGATAGTCCTGTGTGTTTCTTTGTTGGCGCTTTGATTTTACCTTTTGAATACCTTAGGAGTGTCTAGAACTGCCTAAGTATAAAGGTCCTAAACACTTCCGGGACCACAAAGAAGGGACGGGTAAAGCACACTTAGAGTTCGTTAATTAAACTCGCTTATATAACCACTAAGGGGAGGGTAATGGGTAGTAAAAGGATATGATGACCTGTGCGCTAATGCCACGTGTAACCCCTCTATTTGAGGAAGGCTTACCGGGATTGTACAGATGTGATCCTATAGGCTAACCATCTTAGGACTTCCCTTCCTTAATTTATGTATGCTCGGACTGTCCAAACATCTTCTGGTATGCATGCTTAGACTGTCTAAATTTACATATGTATGCTTGGACCATCTAAACTTGATTATGTATGTGTGCTTAGACTGTGTAAATTTCCTTTATTTGCAAATGTGTGCTTAGACCACTTACCTGTTAAATGACTAATTCGCACAACTAAGTTCGGCCGGGACCCACCGTTGTGGACCGCGAGGGGTGCCTAACACCTTCCCCTCAAGGTTATTTCGAGCCCTTACCCTAATCTCTGGTAATGCGAACTAGTTGCATGAGTTAATCGCTCTAGGTGCCCTAACGCACCTTAATTTGTTAGGTGACGACTCTTCAAATACCCAATTCCCAAAAGGAAGCGAGTAGTTTTCCCCATGAATGTCGAAACCCGAACTTCCCCCGCGAAGGGGAAAAAAGGGGGCGCAACAATATATATATCATAAATATCACTTATTCATCCAAGCATACATTATTATACAAGCATTCACATTTTACCAATAAAATATGGTTATACCACCAAATAAAACATTATCATAATTAAGCGAGAAAGAGAGAGAGAGAGAGAGAAAATACCAACAAAATCATAATTAACGACAATTTTATTTTTAGAAGAGAGATAAAAGTTAACAATCATTTGTTGGTTTTATTTTTAAGGAAATGAACACTGTGGGTGCATGATTTTAGGGACATGGTTTAAAGTTTTCTGCTAGGAATATAATTATTTAGTTGCCTTGTGTGTAAAATACCTAATACTGCTAAGTTTGTGGAAATTTTTCTTAAATTTTGTATATTTTTGTTTTTTGCTCCCCAAATTTATAGCTTTTTGGGGTGAGTACACAAACAGTCATTCTTAAGGATATTATTTAAAAATGAAAAAATGGCACTGTATAGCCACTATAAAAATAATAGCCAAAAAAATATAAATTTTTATGTTATATACAAAAATTATACAAATTTTATATACTTTTTTAGTTACTAGATGTAAATAGTTTCTGGCGCGGGCTAAAAGCGATAATACCCCTTTAAAAATTAGCCAATACTTATTTTGTCCTAAAATTTTAAACTAAAAATTTTAACTTCAGAAAAATTCAAGACATTTTTGTCCCGAAAATTGAACTGAAACCAGGACGCACTAAATAATTCTTGAATAGCAATCATTTAGAGGACTACCTGGTGTCATTTCCACCAACATCCTACAACGAGTAATCCTTTATTCTTCTTCAGACTCACAGTAGAAGACGAAAAAAATGGTTCATTAAGATCTGTGTAATATGGAATAGTTATATATGCTAATTGAATCTCTTGACAATCACCTTTGCTTCATGTAATTAATGTTAGGCTAATTTAACGGTGACAAGTGGGCTGGTCGGGGCCCTAAACAGGCCAAGTGGGCCGGTCCCAAATTAAACGGGCCAAATGGTCCCGGTCCAAATGATCTTTTTGTAGGAATCGGCCCGGGGCCGGGCCCACGAATTCATGGTCCCAGGCTAAACGGTCCCGGCCCGCGGGCTAAGTGGGCCCAACGGATATTTTAAAAAAAAAAAATTAAATAGAAATTAGAGACAAAAAGATGTTAAAAAAAATATCTAAGGCAATGCTTTGTAAATTTTATTATAGATTGACCACTAGATTCGCCACTCTTGGATTTTCCCTTATTTTTACCAAAAAGTATTTTAAGGAAGCCATCTTAATTAATCAAGTAATACAAAATAAATAAAACAAACAAAACTATAATATTAAAACTTAAGAGTTGGAACGAGTTTACTGAATTAACGAACAACTTGTTGAAAATTAATTATCATTGAAGACTTGATTTTAAATGCCCCAACGGGCAGATTTTTTTTTGAATTTTGACCGTTTGGCCCGCCAGGACCGCTACGGTCCGGTCCCAAGCAGTCGCAGTCCTAACGATCCCAATCTATAGAATCGGCCCAGAAGCCCGAACCAGGCCCCAAATATCGGTCCAACCGCTCCTGGCCTGTAATTCAGGCTATACAAATAATATTTCTTACTTCAAAATGTAAGTTGTGTGCAACAGCTCGTGCTGTATCCCTTAATTCTTTTTCACGTCTTCTCTATATCGTTTTCGCCTAGTATGTTACCATGCTATTCCGTATTAAAATTCATAAAATATGCGTAAATCAAACTATTTCCTTCATTGACCATGGCTTAACTTTGGGAAAAAAAACACTTCTTTTTGAAAAAAAAAATACTTTCGGCTTTGAAAAAGCTTGGCCAAACAGGCTAGTTCGGAATTATTTATAAAACTAACTGCATTACATGTCCACTGTGCTAATAAGGACTTCTTTCTTTATGGTCCAGAAGAAGAAATATTGTGCTTGATATCTAAAACCAATTCTCTTCTTGTAAAAAGAGAGCCTTAAATAAAGGAGGAGACCTGTATTTCTCTTGGGGAACAATTGAATACAATGAAAAAACTATTAAACTAGAGGATCCAATTCAGTTTCAAGCTCATCTACCTTGCAAAATGCATTCTTCAAATGCTCAAAATTTTTGGGGGAATTCTCTCTTCCTTTTCAAGGGTTAGTAGCAGACTTAACTTCTCCCAATCCTAGCATCAACAGGGGGTACATTAAATTATGAGGAACAGGTTAATCTGCAACGAAATATTAAGACAGGGAATGCCTCCTACTTCTTGATGGGGTGGACTTTGATTCCCCAGCATTGGAAGATCCCGGGCTTTCTGATGTATCCGAGCTGCTGTTCTCACTTAGTCTATCTTTGTTGGACCACAGTTTTGAGAAGATCTTCTTGGACATGATTAAACCCTTTGCTTTGCCACCAGCCACCTTTTCGGCACTCAGTTTCATGTCTTTCAAATTACTATCATTGCTACTTTCCTTGTCCCTCAACCTTAGAGTAGCAAGCTCCCCTTTCAAAGCTTTAAGCTCCTCAGCTGTGGCCACGGCATCCCAGTCCTCTTCTGTGTTGGTCGTAGCAGATCTTGAGCTCCCATGGGATTCCCCTGGAAGCAAGGCTTTAATTGCTCCATGTAGTTCAGGAGTGCTGCCACCACCAGACGATGTTGTTGCTCTGACTTGCTCGAAGAACAGCACTTGTACAACTACGCGTAAAGGAAGGCGCTCATTCTGCACAGCATGCATGCAAGCCTCAGCTGATAGCTTTCGGCAGTCCATTAGTTTACAAATTCTTTTTCTTTCACTCTTGGTGATATCAGGATGTTCCTACGAAAAAGATAATGATAATTCAGAACTCATGATGATAAATCAGCCACACAAATGTGCCTCTGGTGCTTCTCAAGGAGCAGACAGAGTGGTTTTTACCCATTAATTGCTTCCTTTTCAAATATCTGAAGACCAAAAACTATAAAACATTATGTTTGAAAAAGATAAATGCAAAATGGATACCTTAAGGTACATGTCAATAGCACGGTAAATTCCATCATGGGAAGGTCTAGGGAAGCCAGAGACCATATCAGCAAGATTGACAAATTTAGGCAAAGGTAGATTTGGATCTCGAGAAACTTCTGCAAGGTATCCATCAATCACCCTTGCCACCTTAACCTTGGAAGCATCTGATGCAAATGCAGGGGGCATCTCCTGAAATTCATTATCTTCAGTATAATCGCTCTGACCACTCCTTTGCTGCAGTAGGAACTGTTGAACAAGCTCATGTACTATGTCAATATCGTATGTAGTAGTTTCACTAGCTGGGGCTCGAAGGAGGAGGTCAGCTACCGATGCCTCGTCCAGCTGCAAGCCAATCCTCCTCTTCAGTTCACTTCTTACTGTTTCTCCGCATTCCAAAGAGATAGAAGTCTGTAACAATCTGATCAAGAAATTAACAGAAACACTATTTTTCTCTGTCGGCAACAGAGAAGTAATTGCATCGACCAAGTACCGATACTTCACAGGATCGCTTCCTGGTAGTGTACCCTTGCTGAATCCCGGTAGCCTTCGGTATGCATACGCTTTCAATGCTTCACCTATTACTTCTGGAGACATTCCTCCCTTCGTTTTTATTGTCTTTATAACCCGTTTATACATGTCAATGTGAAGTTCACAAAGGTCCTCAACCCACCAGTCTCTTGGAACAAACTGTTGCATTTTCACACCATTCCAGAGCGGATCACTTCCATTTTCAGATGGAAGATTTTTACGATTATAAGTATACGACCAGTCCACCTTTGAGGTGTCAATATAAGCTTTAGATGCTACATAGTCTAGACAATGACTAACAATCTTTAATTCCTCGGACCAGGGAAGAAAAGATTTTGTTGTTTGGAGAACAATGATTGAATCTTTCCAGCTCCTGAAGATGCTAGAAGTAAGGAAGACCTCAATCTTGTAGATAAGGTTACCCTTCTCTACAGTTTCATACATTTCCAGATATTCAGCTGCACAGCGAGCTGCAACCACGTTGTACGCATTCAGAGTTACTGTCATACCATAACAGAACTTTGCACATATTTCAAAAGCTGCAGGTCCACCAGGTACATCGTGGATGTTGATTTCATCATTGCTTTCCTCATTTGTATGTGTGGCCAGCTTCTGCAAGCGACCACTCTTGGACAGAAGTGGGAACTGGAGAAAGTACACTCCTGTTAGTATTAACAGGTAACGTATCGGATGGATAAGATAGTAAGCAGGCAACAACAGGGAAATGAGTATTGTCTGCAAGTATCAGCATGTGAACTATTGGTATAATGAAGGATTAGGCTAACTCTCATTGAGAGTATTCCCTTGCTAGGCTATCTTCTGAACATTCAGCAATAACAAGATGGAATTAAGAAACGTTATCCCTTTGAATGCAATGTCTGGCTGATGCATGCTGAAAGTGACACCGTAAATTAAATTTTATGTTTTAACCACGCTGATAACTGGCGTCGACATGTCAATGTCAATGGACAACTAATAGATCTTAGGGTAGTATTTCTGGAATATCAGGTCTAAAAGTATCTAAAACATGTACTTCAAAATTTTATACGTTAAACACGCCAAGAAAAGAGTGACAAATATAGCCCTAAGATGGAGAACATACCTTGTGGACATAAAATTTTACATCTCCAACATTAATGACCATATCAGTTGCCAATTCGGTTGCTACATACCTGCATACGAAGCTTATACATCATGTTCCAGATGAAACCATTTCAAACAATGTAAAATCAAACAATATGCACATAGCCAGTGTGTTATGTATCAACCAAAAAAACTAGAAGTAAGAAATTGAGATGATACACCCCTCATGTGGATTAGTAAGGTAAGGTCTAGCCCCCTTACTTGTATTTATCTTTTTAAGGTACTTATTAATAAAATTCATTCATGGTACACCTGGGTGGTTTTACTGAGAGAGAGAGAGAGAGAGAGAGAGAGAGAGAGAGAGAGAGAGAGAGGATACATTTTCCTGGCTTAATAAAGGACAATCTGAGACCATTTGTTGCCGAAAGGCTAGCTTTTGCCAATGCAGTGTAATTGGTATATGATTTTAAGTGCTTGTAGTAAGGTTTTCCCTTGTTTATAAGTTTCAGTTTGGTTGGTTGGTTGGTTTGGGGGGGAGGGGGGGGGAGAGCTCTCATGTAAAAATGGTGAATATTTCCCTTCCTAGAGGAAATTTCATTCAAACCTGATTAATGTTGGAAGAAGAAATTCCTCGGCTCAATAAGCTACTCATCTGGAAATGAACTAAGATAGATGGTTGGCAATGTAACATTCATTATATCTCGACTGTGTCCTGGGAGGATTTTCTTTTGGCGCTATGTTATGAGGAAACCTTTTCAATTCTAGTTCACATATGCGCAAAAAGAAGAGTATGTACTCTCTACTCCGTTTTCTCTAAAGTAATTCTACAGTTTCTATTTCATGATACGGTTTTGAGTGAGAAAATGATGTTATACATGTCACAGGGTAGTTTCTGGTCTATTTTATCCTAGTTTAAAGTAAAATATAACATTCCCGTTTGTACTATTTTTGGCAACTACCTGAAAATGGTGAAGCAGACGAGCTTTTGAGATACCTAATAAGCTATAAAAGAAAAGAGCCCACACCAACACAGTGATTTTGGTAGCACTTAAAGATTAGGTTGGCAGGAAATAGAGTAGAAATTACGCACAGGGAAGGTCTCAAAGTCTCATCTTACTTTGCACATGCGTCTGTGATATTTTTGAGAAGAAGGGAATCAAAACTAAGTGCTTGAGGCAAGTAAATCCTGGTGCAACTAAGAGAATTGTTTGTTCTAAAGCCGACCTTCACTTTTTCTCAACCATTTTCTGCACAAGAATATAGCTGCCTAACTAATAATCCATGCCCATCCACCTCTTGTGAATAAATGCTCGAGAATAAAGAAGTGATTGGACATTTCCAGGAAGAGCTTTCGGAAAAGGCAATAAGTATACCGTTTTCCTTTTATGCGCTTTATGTAATAACTATAAAAAGGGCAGCCCGGTGCACTAAGCTCCCGTTATGCGTGGGGTCAGGGGAATGACCGGACCAAAAGGGTCTATTGTACTACCTGCATTTCTACCAGAGGCTTTTTCTACGGCTCGAACGCGCAACGTACTGGTCACATGGCAACAACTTTACCAGTTAAGCCAAAGCTCCCCTTCACTTTATGTAATAATTATATGAGAGGAAATCCAAGCATGAACAAAGTCAACAGATTCAAACAGGCATAGGACAACAAATATATAAGAGTATATCATCCGGAAAATAAGACATATAAGAACAAAAGGAATACCTAATTGGAATAACGGGAAAAGGAAGGTGGGGAATGGTGGGAAGGAAAATAAACTAAATTTCACAAAGATGGATGAATTATTGACCTGATATTATCTCCTTCTGTCTGAAACTGATCAGGCTTGGATCCAAGTTTCATAAACTTCATCTTGGTGTTCAAAGTATCTAAACCAAAAGTGCTATATTTCCAAACTTCACAAGGTTTCAAGAAGGAAGAGAGTTGGCTTGTTTACTGATTCTAGTTGTAAACTCAACCACAAAAGGCCAGTCCAAGATATTTGACCAACCGACTCAATACCTCAAAAAATGCAAAATTTGAGCTCTCAAAACCAGTGTTAATGCCACATGCTCACCACTGAGACCACCGCCCTTCCTCTAATTGTTTATCCCTTCACTCCTGGTGCTAATATATAAATATTTAAACAACTTCCCGTGCTTTCTCTGAAAAAGCAAACACCAGAATCCACATTCCTCTATTCAATGCTCCTCTTTCACCAATGATGTTGAAGGACCTGTAATAACAAAGAAACATCATCTTGGTATGTTTTCAAGAACATAACAAAATTTTAGACAACAAGTATCAATATGGTTTTCAAGTGTTGCATATATATGAACAAACATGCACAAGTACCCAAAAATGTGTTCTGAACTGGAAGGGTAAACAAAGCAAAATTGCCTAAAACAGAGCATCACATTGAACATATAACTTGACACACACAAATCAAACTGAAAATATGCCAAAAGAAAACCACCAATACAATTACAATTACAAAAGACTCTTGTCCCACACTGCCCCAAAGCCATACTTTCCCCTCAAAAAGCAAGAAATTATCCAGAAACCCGGATCTAAGCAAGCTAAGTTGATTGACAAACCCAAGTGCAATGCCAAGCAAAAATCAGAACTTTAAGAGAGAACACCAAAAATAATCCAATTCAACGTGCATTTTCAGACAAAGAAGAAAGAGGGGATTTTTTTTTATTTTTTTTTATTTGAGTGATTAATTTCCAAGACTCACCGCAAAAGCTACGAAATTTCATGGGAAGTAAAGGTAAATCAATCAAACTGAGGTACAGAAAGAGCGCAAATACAGTATAAAAGCACAAGAGGAAGTAGAAGAACAATTTTGAGGGACAAAGCCAAGAAGAAATTCCAAAGGCTGCAAACCACTATGAGCAATCAGAGAAAAGATGAAGGAACAAGAACACAAAAACCAACCAATAAAAAGATGAGTTGTCGCTAAATCTTTGCCAGCCACCAAAGCAACACCGTGTATTCACAAAAAGCCAATCTAAAGAATGTTTCCAAACACTTGAGATTTGATTTTGCGTCCCCACCACCACTATTTCTCAGAAATCCCAGTACAGAAGACTAACTAATTACTCCTCTACAAAATAGCAAGCTGTATTTTTAAGTGTGTATCAGGCTGAAACGGGAAAGTGGGGAGTGGCTTCTTTTTTGAGCAAATAAAGGTGTTAAGAAACATCCTCCTCCAATCTCTAATTACATATATCCCTTTCTTCTCTCCTCTTAGTATTGGCTACACTATTACGCACGCCAATCTGACACAATCTACTCACTTTCTTGTTTGCCCAACTCTTTCCCAAATTAAACAATGCTTTCTTTTACCCCTATCGTTAATTAGTTATAGCAATAGAGAACATAACCACCCCTCCATTTCCCTCTCCTACTTTGATAACACTGCTTGCCATCTCATTTTCTCTTACATTATATCTATAGCCTCCGTAAAGTCTGATAGGTTAACCTTTGTTGGGTTGAAACATTGTTCTATGTAAAGGTTAGAGTTATAATTATTGAGCTGCTTCAATTTGGAATTACCAAAGTATAATTAATCTCAACATAGATTATGGATTAGTGCAAAAGTAATCTGATTATGCTGAATTCTCTAAATGCCAAAGCAGACTTAAACGGACTTTAATAATTATAAGGAAGTACTAATACACATAGTTCAACCAAAGTAATTTTAAAATTAAAGCATAATTGGTTGATTAATTGCCCCCCCCCCCCACCCACCCACCGCCAAACCCTCCGTCTCAAATATTAGTGGTTTAAATAAATTGACCTTGTTTAATTATATTTACTTCTTTTAAAAACAAATAAAAAGGCATTAATTACTTTTATTTCAAATTTATTTTAGTTTTTAATTAGTTGAGTGTTTATTAAGTGCTACCTTTTAAAACGAGAGATATAAGATTGCGAATTTGGTCACACGAATGTCATAAACAAAACTATATAAAATAGTTGGAGTGTTGATTGATGGGAACAATGTTACATCAAAGTAAATTTCAAGTCAGTAAAATTTGTTAGTATGAAATAAGGACTGGACCATAATGTGGGTGGCACATGGGTCACTCATGGCTTAAAACATTGGAATTAGGACTGCGTTTCTTTTAGATAATTAGACTTTGCCTCGCTTTTGCAATTTATACACAAAAGACTTGGTAGAAAGAACCATTCCAGCGTAGTTTCCACGTTAAATGTGAATGGTCAACCAACATCTCCCAATGAGAAAACTTAGTAGCAATCTTTTCTAAAAGTTTGAGAGAATTCTTATTAACTAATGGATTGTAAATATTAAACTTATCATCTTTTAATTTAGTAACCATTATGTACGGAGCTATTCAATGCGACAAACTATTTATTACTCATCCTCTCTCAAATTATTTATTATGTTTCTCTTTTATACGCCCCTTAAAAAATATTAATTAAAAAAGAGATTAGACTATTTTACTTTTTTATTTCTTAAGATAAAATTTCTTTTCATTAAATATTTATTTTATTTATGAGTTATCTCCATCTTAAAGAACAATTATTACTAAGGGTAAAAAAGGGAAAAATAATTCATTTTGTCTTAAACTTCTAAAATGACAAATATTTGAAATAACTATTTTTAATAACCACGACTGATAATATAAAACGGAGAAAGTAGTGATTTAGTATCACTTTTTGCTCTCAAGATTCAAATTAGATTTGAACCTTAATAAACTTCTGTAGCCATTTTGATAAGAAAAATATTGTAAAGACATAAATGCTTTCCATCGGTTAATGCAACAACGATAAATAAAAGATCAAGATCTCCTATGAATTATAAAAGATCATTCATACATATTATAGTTCAAGCGACCTATTTTATATAATTATATTTGGCTGCTGATGATCACAAACTAAAAATTTGATAAGATAAAATAAAGAAAGAATTTCAGGCTGGAGACTTAGATTCCAATTTAATGTGTCTTATAACCCAAAAAAATTAGGGGGGTCATTTTGGTTTTGAGTCTGCAACGAATAGGTTCAAGAGATGAGAGAATTAAGGATACCCACCAGAAAAGATACAAAATTATATAGATTAGATTTGTAGTGTCAATAAAACAACACAAGTCCGAGCAAAACTAACCCAGCAAACAACTATTACTATGCCTTCGAGGGACAAACACCACGTCTAGGTAGCAGCATCTAATTGAATTGTTGTATTTCCGAATAAGAATAAATTAAAGTTAGTTAAGTGTAACTCTAGAATTTGATTAAATGAAACCTCAACAAACTAAAGTTCCAAACAATTTACGCCAAGAGTTTTTTGAACCATGCAGTGGAGTAGTCCAATCAAAAAAAATGGGCATCCCCCCTTCACCTTATGGACAAAACTGTGACCACATCCTTTTTCTCTTATCCAAAACGTCTTTCGTTTTAATTTTTCCTCTAAAATCTCTCACATGCCCATGTCCCAAACTCCAAAACTCCTCTTCTTCCAATGTCACCAAAAATCCATATTATAATATTTTCTGACATGCCATATTCTTTGCTCTTTTACACTTTCCTATAATAATGCTCCCATTGCTGAATTAATTAATAAATTCTAACATTGTGTAAGGAATCTCTTCGCCCAACACATTCTTTTACTACTAGTATAAACTTCTCTGGTCTTCAATTATACAGTAGCTATTATAGTTTTGCATCAGTAAGATCTATGCAAAGATGCGATTGAATTTTTTTTTTAGTAGCATTGAGAAGTGGTTTAATCTGACATAGATTTTAGAGGCAATCTTCAGAAAGATACTATCCACGACAGTTGGTCGGATGTCTAAGAATTCCATCGTTTTCGTGCAATATATGACAATGAACAATTGACAATGTTTGGTCTAACAAACTTTTTCTTACCATCACACGAGTGCGGGCACTTTGCTTCACATGTGGTACTTGTGGATGTCTCCCTTCCTTCGTCACAGGAAGATCAATACTATAGTTCCAATTTTTTGGATCTTAGTGAATATATATCTTGTACAATTCTTCTTGTGTGAGCTTTGTATATCATGACATGTTTCGAACCCGAACAAAGAGAAATGAATGGTATCGTCAATTTATGATCAGGGTAAAAACAGTTTAATTATGATGTCATTTAAATAGATTTTAACAGAGTAGAGAATGAGTATAGCGTACAATCCTTCTTAATTAAATTTAAGATGGATGAAATTTTTAAGGATGATTTGTTTTGAAGTCCATTATAAATGTTATTTTAGTTATACGACCATAAATCATATAAGAAATATGTAAAAAATAACGCATGAGATATATAAATAAAGCATATGAAATCTTTTTCTTTTTGTAAGTAAAGATTTTATTTACAAAATAATATTTACGATCAGAAGAAAAATATAGCGAACGCACACTGGACATACAATCCCAAGTGTATCGACTTCACTTCCCTACCGTAACTATCAGGAATAGCTCAAATACGTACTAGGATACATCAGTTAAACACACAGATAGTAATCTAACTCTTGCAATCGTCTCGCTAACTTCTGCTTCAATTCTCCTATACAATGTACTTCTTGAACAATAGCTCTAATCAACGCTACTGCATTTCTACTTTTAGCTTGAAAGATTCTCAGATTTCTCTCATGCCATATGTGTTAGATGGATCCTACTAGGCTCATTCTGTAGACTTTAGCTGCTGCATTCTTTCCCCTATAATGTGTGATTGCCCATTCTATCTCTTGGCGCCAGCTCTTAGGTTGTCTTCGTATGTCTTGCCATTGTAAAAGTGCTCTCCGAACTTGTGCAAAAAAAGTACAGTTGAAAAATAAATGATCAGTGTTCTCTACTGTAGCATCACATAAAGAGCAACTCATATCATCCAGGCATCCCCATTTTGCTAGCCTTTCCTTGGTAAGCAGCCTGCCTCAAGATGCCAGATACAGACTGAAAATTCACTTTGGAGGCGAATCATTGTTGCATACTAACCTTCTCCAGTTGACCTTCTGAAATACTCCCCTTAATTTCAAGTATATATCTTTAATGGAAAACTTTTCAATTCTTTGTACCTCTTCCTCTGTCCAACCGGGTGCCTCAAAATATTTTCCTGCCTTCAGGATCTTTTGTACTATCCAGAAGGCCTGCTTTGGTTGTGCTCCCCACAATGTGCCTTGTTTTCCATAGTAAATATGAACCCATTGCACCCACATCTTGTCTTTCTTCTTACATAAGTTCCACAAGAGTTTACATATAACTGCCTTGTTCCATACGATCACATTAAGAATGTTAAGACGTCCTGCCGATCTAGGAAAACACAGTTTATCCCCTGCAATCAATGCCTTTTTTATAGCTTTACACCTCGTGTCCACAAAAATCTTCTACACGTAGATTCAATCAGATCAGTGATCTTCTTTGGTAGGGCAAATATCTGAGACCAGTAGACTTGGATAGAGAGCAGAATACTCTTGATCAATTGGACTCTCCCAACATACGATAGGAACCTTGTAGTCCATGATTGAATCCTCCCTAGCATCTTATCAATCAGATGTTTGCATTGTGCTATTGATACTCATTTAGTGCTGAGGGGTACCCCTAAGTATTTGATAGGAAGTGAGCCTTGCGAGAAGCTTAGCAGGTGTAATATCTGTTGTTGAGTTTCACTACTTACTCCTCCAAAGTATATGGAACTTTTTTTCTGCATTAGCCACCAATCCAAATGCTCGAGAAAACTCCTGAAAATAAGCTTACAACATCTGTACTGAGATTGTGTCTTCTCTGCAGAACAAAAGGAGATCGTCAGCAAAGCTTAATTGTACAATGTTTATCTTAGAGCATTTTGGGTGATAGTTGAAGTCGGGGTTCTTCCTTAGCTGCTTCAAGAGCCTTGTGAGGTATTCCATTGCAAGAACAAATAAGAAAGTTGAGAGGGGATCTCCTTGCCTCAATCCTTTCTTCGTTGGGAAAGGAGCAGTTGGATGTCCATTGATTATTATGGAATATGACACAATCCTGATACATCTCATGATCTACTCTATACATTTAGCCGGAAATTTTAGGCATACTAAAATCTGCTTCAGGTAATCTCATTCTAGTGAGTCATAAGCTTTATTCATGTCTATTTTTAGTATGTATTTTGGTGACACTACCTTCCTACCATATCCTTTGACCAATTCATGGCTCAAGACAATGTTGTCATTAATCAATCTACTAGGAACAAATGCAGACTGATTTTCATTCACTATCCAGTCCATAACTTTTTGCAGCCTCTTAGTAAGCACATTTGATATGATTTTGTATAGCAATGTACAACAAGATATTGATTTGTTGTCACGACCCATTTCCATAACAGGTCATGATGGCACCCAACACCATTGCTGGGCAAGCCAACGCGGAAAATACTAACTAAACTTTCATTTAACTTTACCCCGAAATAGTTGAAATAATTCTTTAAGTTGGAATAAAATCAGAAACGATTAATAAGATCATGATAATCATACTACCCCAAAATAATACAGTCTACTAATATGTGTGCCAAGACCTGGTGTCACAAGCAGTGGGCAACTAGTAGAATATACAAAAGAATCACACTATCCTACTGTGCAAAACAGAATAGACAGCAAAAAATACATAAGAAAGACTTCTTCA